AGCTGGGTCTGCTGTGGTTACCACCAGACTTCATACCATTGTTCATCCTTTCCCTTGTAAGTTCCTCCCTATCCCCATGTGAGCGGTGGGTGCTCCAGCTTGTTGTGTGTGGTCTGCGCCTGCCCCCAGTGCAGTCACAGTGCCCATAGAGTGATGAAATAATGGGCCTCCCTCCACTACATAGCATTCCGAATGAATCTGGACCTTGGGTTCGTCTCTAGTTTGCTCTGTCAGGATGGATAATCTACAGGCCAGACGAGTTTGGATTTGCTCTCTTTCCACTGTTCGGTTGAGGACCGTCTGTTCCCTCCTGCGTTGTCAGTCTTGTCAGTTAACTTCGAGTGAAGCATTCTTTTTTTTTTTTGTGGGAAGAATTGTAGCATGTCTTGGGCCGGGAATTCTCCGCAACCAGCCCGGAGAATACTCGGGCCCCGGGCCCTTACCCAGATTCAGCTTGTGCTGGAAACCGGTTCCAGCGTCCCTTGTCCTTCCAGGAAAACAATTCTGAATCAACCAAAATAGTAAAAAAAATACTATCTTTTGAGTTATAATTTGAAGGAGAAAAGAAGATAAGAAAAAAAAAAGAAGGAGAAAAAAAAGAGAACAACAGATTGCCAACTATTGTACTTGAAACAGGAAAAAAAAAGGACAACAACAGACTACCAACAATTGTACTTGAAACAGAAGGGGAAAAGAAAAAAAAGGACAAGAACAGACTACCAACTATGGTACTCAAAACAAACAAATTGTACTTGAAAGACAGGGGCAGGAATTCTACCATTCTGTCTTTAGGCAACACAACCTTAGAGCTTGCAAACCAATTCCATGTGGATCCTAAAGCCCAACAATTGCCGCAAAAGGACAACACAAAATCACCCAGTATTAAGTCCAAAAACTTTTGATCTTCTAAATGTTCTACGCATGGAAGTTTAACCCGACTGTACTCAGAACACCAAACCCTGCCTGAGGCGACAGGTCACCATATGCACTCGACAAAAGCGCGGTGGCCACTGAGCCAACGTAGCTATGGAGCAACACGCCGTCTGCCAGTGGGCAGAAGCAGTAGCCAAGGGCTAATAATGAGTTTTCCCTCTGGGGACAAGGCTGCGAGCTGCCCAGGTACGCAGCTGTTATGTGCCTGATTAAAAACGAATCCAGCATGGCATTCACACGTTCCCATACTCATGTGCAATGACAAGCAGACTTGGAGAGAGAAATCTACACCACACCAGATTACGAGAATGCACAGCACAGGCTCTGTCTCTTATACACATCTAGATGTGTATAAGAGACAGTTCCCATACATCTGCAAAGACAAGAAGACTTGGAGAGAGAAATCTACACCACACCAGATGAGGAGAATGCACAGCGGAATCTCACAAAACCAAAAATAGAATTGAAATTAATGAATTATAATTAAACTGTCTCAGACTGAGTTCAAGTTCAATCAGCAGCACCAAAATTTCCAGCATCTCAACGGTTACCACGTTATCAATATCCACAAACCAACTATTTACAGAGTTTCATCAAGTAATTGAGACTTCTTCTTCCCACCCTCAAGCTCACAGCTATGGCGCAGGCCGGCGCCCAACCTATAAAGCCACCAATCGCCACCAACCCTCCTGACCCAGCCACTCAGCAGTTCAATCTCGATGCCCACTGCAGATGACGTGTCCGCTCAACAGGGGAGAGTAGCTCGCAGGACGAGGAAGAAGAACACAAGCACGTGGAAAAGAAGAAGATGGTTGCCAGTGCGACACACACTTCGAAGAAGAGCTTCGATGGCAGTTCACGGTCGCCTCACAGATCAGGGCCTGATGCCCAGCGCTATCTCAACATGAGCTAGGTAGCCCCAGCTATGGCCACCGGCCCTCACAGCATGAAGATGGTGGCATAGCACACCAAGCAGGTCTCCACCTCCAGCAGCACTTCGTTAAAAACAAATGACGAGCAAAACGCGGTTTTGCTTGCCCTCGACACTTTTGTAGACTGTTGTTTCCCCCCACTCGAAAGCCGACTGCCTAGGAACGACAGCCTATAGCCTAGGACCAATTCTAGACCTAAAATTGGCAAAAGGGAAGGACAAAAACGACCTACAACTCAAGGGAAGAAAAGGACCAGAGAGGCCTAGTGGTTCTATGACTACCCTACAGAGACTCTCACACTTAGACCTAGGAATCAAGCCCAGTAAGGCTCACACACAAGGAAACGCACAACCACGGTACAGGTCACAGGATCAAGTCCCGGAGAGCTCAAAACCAGCCAAAACAGATCGAAGTAGTGTACAGCCCGCATAATACCGCAATTCATTGCATTCCTACCCTCCCGGGGAGTGAGGACCCCGAGCTAGGAGTGTTAAGGAGGAGAACGTTTGAGGGGTTTCCCTTTCTGTTCAGCCTCATAGGCATGCACGATTGAATTTGCAGACTTGAGAAGTTCCTTCCTTGTGAAACAGCGGTCCTGTGTGAGGTTGGAAGAGAAACTTCACAAGATATTCACAGTTGGGGCATGTGCCCCACTGATCCTCAATGCTCTCATCTTCGCATCCCTTTCTGGGGGTAGGAGGTCCAATGTGGCATACTCAGTACCACATGGGCCCAGCAGGGCCCGACCAGGTAGACTAAGGGTCTGTACGTGTAGTGCCTGTTTTCGTTTCAGCCTAAACGCCTGAAAGCGAGGGCCTACAGGCCCTGTGTCGTTTCAGCCTGAAAGCCTGAAAACAAGGGCCTAAAGGCCCTGAGTCTTTTCAGCCTGAAACGGAGGGCCATTTTCAGGCCCTCGTAAGATCGACCTGCCCTGAAACTTATGCACCACACCAGGGTTTTAGCACAGGCCATTTTGGGCCTGTTTTCAAGACAACCTTTGTTTGAACTTCAACGCCAGGGTCTGACACGTTTTGGCATTGGCAAGAGCGGCCTCCTGGACGGGCCAGCACTATATAAGACTTGCCCGCCCTACAGGCTGCAGGCAGTCAGGAGGCAGTTCATAGGAACTTCCCAGGCACTTCATGTGCAGGAGGCAGGATTCGGCAGCAGCACTCTGGAGGAGCGCTGCAGGAGTAGTAGTAGCGTTAGCAGTAGTCTTCAGCGCTGGGTAGGAGCTAGAGTAGCGTTGGAGAGAGAGAGAGAGCGATGGTTGGCGGAGGCCAGGGAGACTTCCCTGTGGTGGCATAGCTCCAGCTTCGTCTTCAATGTACCTGCAACAAGGCGCCACCTTCGCAGGTTAGTACCGGACTGAGAGAGAGAGAGAGAGAGAGAGAGAGAGAGAGAGAGTTCTTCTTCTTCCTCTTCTAAGTCCATCTCTTCCTCACCCTCTCGCTACCTGACTTCTCAGTATCTGCAGACTACAAGAGAGACAGAGAGAGATTGGTGACTTTGGGATTTGACGATATTTGGATCCAGACTCGACATTGGGATTTCGACATTTGACGAGGGATTATTTGGGACTGTACCGAAGACTTGGTGTTGACGGCATTCCCATCGTCCCCTCTTCTTCGCCTAACCCCCCTCTTCTTCGTCTGTGTAGAGTTGGGGACTGGCGCATTCTTCCTGTGTGAGCGCCAGGCCCCTTCACACCATGGAATGATGATGATGTAGGTTTGGTCTGCATGGCAACATTGATTGCTCGGATCATTGGTATTTAAGCCTTCCGCTGTGTTATCTTGTTGGTCCGTTCTTGTTCTAATCTGTACAGTTACGGTATGCGACAGTTTGGTATCGGAGCGGACCTCTCAATCAGAGGATCCGCCCAGTCAAGTAGCCAGCTTGCTTGATCTGCTGATTGTTGAATGATTGATTAATTGATTGATTGATTGTTTATTTCTAAATCAAGTAGGGCTTCGTCAAATCTCTGCAAAAAAAAAAAAAAAATCTTTCTCGCAAATATCTGAAAATTTCTGATATTACCATTTCGTTTTCACGCAACAAGTATCTGAAAATTTCTGATAGTAGCATTCGTTTCTCTGATATTAGCATCCGAAGATTTCTGATATTAGCATTTATAGCCGAAAATTTCTGATGTTAGCATCTCTTTTTTCTAGGCATATTAGGATAACGACAGAGGTTATCATATTCTGGGAAACCGGAGTTATTCTTTTCTGAAAATCGAATCTCCATTCTATTTCGCAAAAAAATGGATTCGGAAAGCCGAAATTTTGCGAAGCCTATCAGCATTTCGTTTGCTAGGCATAATAGGAGGTTGTCATATTCTCGGAAACTGGATTCATTCTTTTCTGGAAATCGAATCTCTATCCTATTTTCGTGAATTTTTCGCACAATTTTTTTCAAAATTGCAAATTGTTTTTTCTTGAAAGCCGAAATTTTGCAAAGCCTTGCCTAGATCTTACTCTTAGCAATCCTCCGTAGAATGCCTCACTGATAGCAGATCGATAGATATACAAAAAAACAAAAAAAAGGGGGAGTGATCCTCTTCTTTTATTTTTTATTTTTATTCTGTTGATTAGGACCGGGAGGAAAGTACACTTTGGTTGGTTACTTTCCTGTGTTTTCCCTCCCACCCAACCCTTTGCCTGCATTCCCGTTTTGGTAAGTGCCACGTCAGCAGTGCCACGTCAGCAGCAGGGCCACGTCAGCAGTGCCATGACAGCAGTGCCACATCAGCAGCAGGGCCACGTCAGCAGTACCTCGTCAGCCGACACCGTACAGCTAACTGCAGCTTATGCTCCGATGCAGCAAACACATCACAGCACGTGAAGGGGCGGGCAGCCGCAGCGGAACAGCAGCTACCCCTGCCCCACCCCTCTGCAATGGACGCCCAGGGCAACCCGACGGTGGACAATGCCGCATCCGGCAGTCCACGCAAGGCGTGCAGCTCGAACCCCCTGGTCCCACAGGTCCAGCAGGTGGCTTCGACTGCGACACTTGCGGGAGCCCTCGACGCTGCACCAGTCCGGCAGCAAGGAGAGACCATGATGGCCTTCCTGGCCCGCCTGGGCACCTACATGCAACAAGTACGATATGAACAGCAACGCGAGGCGGCAGCCGAAACGGCACGCCTCAACGCCATTGCACGCGACGTGGAGCAACGGCGCCGGCAGCACGCTGAAGCAGCTGCCAACCATAACAAAGCTTGAAAAGATGCCGCATCTGTCCTCATGCAGCAGGAAGCCGCTCATACCGCCGCACTCCAATCATGGAATGTTGATCCGGGAGACTACGGAACCAACTGCGGAAGAGCAGACCAAGTCAGCTCTCGCCAACATGACGCACCAAGTCATCCTCACTTGTAATTGGCAACAAGTGGAGCTGGCTCGGCATGCACATACCATTGCTGAGTACGAGGAGACTCTCAAGAGCCTCCATGCCCGCCTCGACGTGTTGGAGAAGGATGACGTGCCGAACAGGCACACAGCGTTGTCAAGCATTGATCCATCGATCCGCGAGCTGGAAGAACGGATGGATCACCTAGTAGCGCTCATCGGAAATTTGTACAGTTTCCGGCAACCGGCGACCATGAGCCAGCAAATAGCCGCCCTACAAGCGGATCTGTGTCAGCTGCAGCAGCAACCAACCGGGACTTGCAACAGTCTGACGTCTAAACAATTCAAGATGCCGAAGTTCAGCATCGACAGATTTGATGACTACCACAAGGCGGACCCCATAAGTTGGTGGCAAGGGTTCACCAACGAGCTCTCCATTCACTTGGTCTCGCCAAAGTCGAAGATATCAGGGTTTTACCTCTGCAGCACCGGTGCCAGCCAAGTGTGGCTCAACCACCTGGCTCAAACCGAAGGCGTCCATATCGCTAAGCTTTACACCAAGATCACTTGAGAGGCCATGATCGAGAAGTGGTGGAAACACTTCATCGTCGACGACGCTGAAGGCAAAGGCGTGAACCGGATTTTCAGCATGCACCAAGGCAGCCAGCCAACACGCGAATGGCTAACCGAATGGTGGAAACTCGTGACGATTCCGAATCTGGACATACTGTTCGTACATCTTCGTCATGAATTCTTCCAGCGGTCAGTTGACGCGTTGAGCACGGCCCTTGGGGAGCGCAGCCTGTACACGGACTTTGACCAGATCGTGGATAAGGCGCGCGAAGTAATCCAAACAAATTGGTGGGCCGCCAACGAGCGGCGAATCCAACCAAATTTTGTGGAAAAGGGCAAAGGCCCGCGGCCGCAGCAAGTCGATGTTGTCCAATGCAATGGACAAGAGGACGACCAGGCGCTGACTCACAAGTTTAGTGAAGGAGACGGAGTCAACGCCCTTCCGCCACGACGCAACAACAAGAAGAAAAAGGCGAAATCTGCGTCAACAACAGAAGCCGGACAGCCGAACGAGCCATGGAAGAAGTTCAGCCTCACGGAGGAGCAATACAAGCTCCGCCAAAGGTGGAACTGTTGCTACTGGTGCAACAACACCAAGCACACGACATCGCAATGCCCTGACAAAGGCAAAGAAGATGTCTGTCCACGACAAAGCTCGGGAAATTGAGCTCTGCAGGAAGTGAGGCGACTCCACTTCCTACTCCGCCAGACACAGTTGCCTTGCTCCTCCACGTTCGGGGAACATGCGTATGTCGCCAGTCTTCACGAAGGTTATGAAGACTATGCTGCCCAGCTGGTCCCGCCATTGGACCAACCTCTCCACGTGCAAGAGTCATATGCATGCGCGACTTCAGCACCATTGTCAAGCGAACCAGAATCCTAGCCGACATTACTCGGGGACTCATTGGTATGGTCTAGACTTGAGGACCTCGACCCATTGACACCGGAGGACTTCCAATGGTTGCCTCTTCCCCCATCTGATTCCTTGCCGAAGCCGCATTGTAACGCCCTAATGGCGGAACTACGCAACTACTTGCACGCTGCAGTACCAGCTCCGTTGATGGAAGACGGAGTAGCGGTTGTTGACCTCCGCGAGTACATTGCGAAGATTGACCGCGAGTACCCCACGCAACGGTACGATAACATTGACGCACCTTTACTCTACGTCCGCATTCATATCGGGAAGGCGACCTGCAGCGCCTTGATTGATTGTGGAGCTACTCACAACTACATCAGCCAGGACTTCATGACGCGCGCCGGCCTTGGGCCGTACATTCGAAGGAAGGAAATCACAGCCTAGGTAAGTCACGTTGGACAACGGTCGTACGCACAAGTCCATTGACCGGTGCGTTGACTTTGTTCCCGTGTACTTCACCCCGCATGCACGCGAGGCCATGTCCTTTGACATATTGGGGACACAGTTCGACATGATTTTGCGCATGTCGTGGCTGCACAGTGAGGACCACCTGGTGACCTTCTACCGCCGCACCATTCATGTTCGTGACCGGAACGGGGTACTTGTGCCATGTACGGTCCCCCCCCCTCACCTTTCGATTGGTTGACATGTGGTCTCAGCGGCAAGCATTCGTAAACTCCATCGCACGGAACGACGTGGAGGAAATGGGCATTTGTTTCTTGCATGCCCTACCTCCTCCCGACGAGCCAACGGCGGAACAACCACCAGATTCACGCATTGTACAACTTCTTCACTCCTATGGCGACGCCTTTGAAGCCCCCGCCGTTATCGTACCAAATCGGCCAATTCGTCATGAGATCATCCTCGAAGATGGGGCCGTAGCTCCTCGCGGATGTATTTGCCGCATGAGCGAGGAGGAACTCGAAGTGCTTCGAACGCAACTCTATGACCTCATTGTGACCACGTCATCACGCATCACAAGCACGACAACAAGCCAATGCAGTACAAAGTCACATTCAAGTGGTGCGACTGCGACGACACGCGATGGATTTCCCGGGCAGCTTTGCAAGCCTCCGCACAAGATATCGCTGATTATGAGAAAAAACTGCTAGCCACGGAAGTTGCACAACCTCCCACCCGGACTTCAGTCCCTCCCTCCAACAAACAACTTTGCCCTCGTAGGTAAGCTCGGTCTTCCAAGGAGGTGGGAGTGTGGCATACTCTGTACTACACGGGCCCAGCAGGGCCCGACCAGGTAGAGTGAGGGTCCGTATGTGTAGGGCCTGTTTTCGTTTCAGCCTAAAAGCTTGAAAACGAGGGCCTACAGGCCCTGTGTCGTTTCAGCCTGAAAGCCTGAAAACAAGGGCCTACAGGCCCTGAGTCTTTTTAGCTTGAAACGGAGGGCCATTTTCAGGCCCTCGTAAGATCGACCTGCCCTGTAACTTAGGCACCAGACCAGGGTTTTAGCACAGGCCATTTTGGGCCTGTTTTCAAAACAACCTTTGTTTGAACTTCAACGCCAGGGTCTGGCACGTTTCGGCATTGGCAAGAGCAGCCTCCTGGACGGGCCAGCACTATACAAGACTGGCCCGCCCTTCAGGCTCCAGGCAGTCAGGAGGCAGTTCATAGGAACTTCCCAGGCACTTCACGTGCAGGAGGCAGGAGGTAGTCTTCAGGATTTGGCAGCAGCACTATGGAGGAGCGTTGCAGGAGTAGAAGTAGCGTTAGCAATAGTCTTCAGCGTTGGGCGCTAGTAGGAGCTAGAGTAGCGTTGGAGAGAGAGAGAGAGCAATGGTTGGTGGAGGCCAGGGAGACTTACCTGTGGCGCCATAGCTCCAGCTTCGTCTTCGATGTACCTGCAACAAGGCTCCACCTTCACAAGTAAGTATCGAACTGTGAGAGAGAGAGAGAGAGAGAGAGAGAGAGAGAGAGAGAGAGAGAGAGAGTTCCTCTTCTTCCTCTTCTAAGTCCGCCATCTCTTCCTCGCCCTCTCGCTACCTGACTTCTCAGTATCTGCAGACTACGAGAAAGAGAGAGGGAGTGGTGACTTTGGGATTTGACGACATTTGGATCCAGACTCGACATTGGGATTCCGACATTTGACGAGGGATTATTTGGGACTATACCAAAAACTTGGTGTTGACGACATTCCCATCTTCCCCTCTTCTTCGTTTGTGTATAGTTGGGGACTGGCGCATTCTTCTTGTGTGAGCGCCAGACCCCTTCCTACCATGGAATGATGATGATGTATGTTTGGTTTGCATGGCAACATTGATTGTTCGGATCATTGGTATTTAAGCCTTCCGCTATGTTATACTGTACTTTAAGAGAGAGGTCGGTTCTTCTTCTGGTCTATACCCTTACGGTATGCGACATCCAATCTGCAGTGGCCTATCAAGGACTGCATTAGCAGGAGTGAAAGGCAGCCGTTTTGAGGCATGGAAGACCAGACAGGTCCCAATCTAAGGGGGAACAACAAGCACATAGGAAGGCCCAAATGGATATGCCCTCATAGTATCAAGTACCTTCCATGGGCCATAGAAAACAGGCGACAACTTTCATGATATGTCTTGTTCATCGGTTAGTTCAAATCTTTTCACCGAGACCCAGTTACCTGAAGGGATAAGAGAGGGAAAATGATGCTTATTATTTTGTTGTATCATCCTCTTATGGCCCTTGAACATATTAGTTCTAGCTTTCTCTAGGTCTTTCTCATAACTCTTTGTAAATTCCACAGTTCCAAGAGTTAGTTTGGGCTTGGACTTGTCAATGAGATCATCCAGAGGTTGTCTTGGATCCTTGGCAAAGTGCAGCATATAGGGTGTAAAGCCTGTAGTGTTGTGAAGAAAGGTATTATACATCAGTTATACCCTGGACAAATGTTTGTCCCAGTCCTGCTGATCAGGTGTGATTACATGACGCAGAAACTGAAATTTCACATGGTTAATCACCTCAGCCTGTCCATTGGCTTCATGATGTCCCCCGGAGGTCATGTCGAGTTTGAAATGCAGGTAGTCTTTGCAGAAACATTGTCTGTCATTGCTACTGAATTTAGCATTTGTATCACTGACAATGGAGGATGGGCACCCATTCACATTTATCCATCTCTCACAGAAGAGCTCTCTAATCAGAGGTACTCTGACCTCAACAGGTAAGGGGATAAACTCGACAAACTTTGAGAAGCGATCCACACAGACCATTACTTGTCTTATGCCCCGTGGAGTAGTATTCTCAAAGATAGGTAAAGGTTTGAGAAGTCGTATCGGAGGTCGTATATGGACCTTGTTCATTTGGCACAACTCACATGTCTTAAAGTACTTGAGTATATCCTCTCTCATTCTTTACCAGTAGAAACATTCGGTTGGGGCAGCATATGTCTTTAAAACCCAAAGTGACTACGAGCATCATCATGACTCTCTGAAATCAGATGAGTAATGATCTTGCGATCGTTAGGGATACACAAACACTCTTCCCCCTCGCGGATTTTGTACAACAAGCTTGAGGTTAAGACATAGCCTGCGTCAGAATCGAGTTCGACCTTCAGATTTCTTAGGATGGGGCCAAAGAATGGATCCTGAGGCAACGCATCAGTGATGACCTGTCTGGTGTTATAAACAAAAGAATGACTATCAACAATGATAGCACACATTGAGTCTACATGATAATGCATGCATCTGCCACACTATTATAGCACTATTTTTTGTGCTTCAATTCAAAGTGAAAAATGTCTATGAATTGAATGTACCTCGCCAGTGTATCATTTAACTCACCTTGGATCTTCATCCACTGCAAGGTGAAATGATCGGAGTAGATCTTGAAGTCTCTCCCAAGTAAGAAATATTTCCACTATTTGAGGGTATAAACGAGAGCATACAGTTCTTTCTCATAGGTGAAAGCCTGAATTATTTGCACCTTGATCTTCTTATTCATTAATTCCACTGATTTTATATCAGTCAGATGATCATCTTGCTTAAGAACTGCACCAGCTCCATACCGACTTGCATCAGTGGTCAACACAAATGGCAAGGTAAGGTCGGTCAGTTTCAGCATAGATGTTTGGGTCAAGGCTTTCTTCAATCTGGAGAAAGTCAACTGACATTGAGGAGTCCAATTGAAAGCAACATCCTTAGCCAACAGGTTAGTAAGGGGAGAGACAATAGTAAAATTCCTGATTGAATTTCCTATAATAAGATGTCAGACTCATGAACGACATGATGTATCTAACTATCTGTGGTTGTGGTCAGTCCCTCACAGCAGCAACCTTAGACAACTTTGGGGAAATAACATTTGCAGAAAACACGTCTCAAATACACAACAGAAGCGACATCAAAAGATTATTTTCTTTGTTGATTTCTGTATAGCACACCGAACATGTTCGGAGCT